AGGCGGAGAAGAGGACGAGCGGCAGCGCGAAGCTGTGCGCCGTCATGGCCGCTCCGCACCGGACTGCGCCCCGCCCACTGCCGCGCCGCGCCGCCAATCCGCGGCCGGAGCGCGCCGCGCTGGCGGCACCGTCGGCTCCCATTGGCGGATCCGCTCGGCCCGGCCCGGATCCGCTCGGCTCGGCCCGGATCCGCTCGGCACGGCTCAGCCCGGCCCAGCTCGGCTCGGCCCGGATCCGCTCGGCTCGGCCGGGCCCAGCTCGGCTCGGCTCGGATCCGCTCGGCACGGCACGGCCCGGATCCGCTCGGCACGGCCCCCGCACCCCTGCGCACCTCGCTCCGCAAAGGAGCACCCAGCAGACACAGCCGCTTGACAAAGCTCCTTTATGTTACAAAGCTCGCACTCACACCCGCCGCCGCCTCCCGCGCCAGCCCGGTGCGCGCACATCGCCCGGCGCGCTCGGGGGCTCGGCCGCCCCTGGCCCGGCGGTGCGGCTCGCCGAAGGGCTGTCCCGCCGGTGCGTTACTTGGGAACTCTCCGGAGCTCGCTCATGAGCCACAGTGCCACGCTGAGCAGGGCCAGGGAGCCCGACTGGTGCGTAGCAGCCACAGGCGTAGGGACATAAAGCAGCAGGGTGCTGATGCCCAGGCCCACCTGCCAAGAAGGGAGAAGAGGTAAGAGCAGCTGTGGATGCACCACGGATACCATTCCCAGCACAAAGTGTGGTGTTAGAAAGGCTCACGCAAGAGCACCCCAAATTCAGAGTGTGCATGCAGTATGGTGAGGTGTGGGGTCTAGGCAGCCCCACCTGTCAGCTCCCGACTCTTGGAGCCAGCACAGATCCAAGCGGGGTCAGGTCTGCCTTGTGAATGTGCTGCAAAGGAGTAGGAAAATATAAGGGCAGTACCTGCATGCAAGCTACGGCCAGTAAGGAAGTCACAGCCATCCTGGTCCTTCGAGGGAGTGGGATCTTCCTCGAGAAGAGGTACAGTGCTGTGACAGCTGTGACGGAGGCAATTCCCTACGGAAGAGAAGGGAAACAACCACCCTTCAATGAAAGTTCAAGGGAAATGGGTGCAGTGGCCTTTGCCTGTGGCTTCCATGCAATAAAAGAAATTGTGTAGCAGTTTTTAACTAAAGGAATGTATTAATGGCCATGACCAAATCCTAGAGCTCCCACACCATCATGTTAACAATCCCGAAATTTAAGTGAAGTTACAGAGACTTTTAATTTCCTCCAAATGAATGCTTTGCTTTCCAACAGCTTCTCCTCATTAATTCAAGTCACTAGAGATTGTGTCTGCCCTCTCCCCAGCTGCCACCTTGACAACTGAAGGTGGAAGCTGTCATCTGGAAAACTGATCTCATTTCCACCACTCAGCTGTAGTTCACCAACTTAATCTTGCTGTGCAGGTCACCCAAGGTGATCCAGCTTAATCTTTCTTTTTTTAGTCCTAGCCACGGCTTAGTTCACAGCAGTGCTGCCAGTGGTATTTAATATCCGGATTGCTCTAACTAGCTGAGATATATTCACAGGGCACTACTGTGCAAAACAAGTTCAGAAATGCTGCAGGAAGCATTCAATATCAGGATTTCCAAGTTTTATTTCACACAGCTTTCCCAGACATTTCAATAGCAAGGGCTATCCCACACTGTAGCTCGTGTTATGGAAAAGGAGAATCAGAGAAACAAAGTGTGTTACTTGCGCAGGAGGAAGACCTCCTTAAGGAAGAAGGCCACACTGAAAATAAAAAACAATGCTAAGCTTCCTCTTCCTGCAGAAGCAAACTGCTAAGACGCTCTCAGGCCCTTTGGACACCCTAGAAATCACTCAAGCTGACAGAACCACAGCCCAAAGAAGACAGCTTGGCTGCAGGAGGCAACCAAGAAGCAGCCCAGACATATCAGGAAGACAGCACTCACCAAGATCCTGTGATCAAACTGTACGGTTGTAGGATTCTCAAAGATATTTCTCAGCACAGGAGAGAAGGCAAGGAGATCATCTGGGATCCAGCGCTCCCCCATTTTGGGGAAGGAATTGTACACAAGGCCAGCATCCAGCCCTGCCACAAAGGCACCTACAATTCCAGAGCAGAAAATGAGACTAGCACAGTAGGCAAAGGTGTCACTCCAGGTTGCACAGCTCTCATTCAAGAGCTCAGCTTGATCCTGAATTTCTTTTAGCAACATATACAGAGATCACACAGCACAGGAAGGCTGGAAGGTGCCTCCCCATCTGCCCAGGAAAGACCAGTCAGGAGGTTCTTGACTGTAAGATCCCTGACAGCAGCAGTTTTCTCAGAGAATAGATGGGGTTGCTCACAGAACAGAAGAAAAAAAAGCAAACCAGCAGAGAGGAATAAGTCACAAACTGGACAGCAGAAAGAGCTTTACCTGAAAGAGCAGTAAGAAAAATGAGAGCTGTAGTGCCATGAGCATATTGTCTCAAGCGAAGGAGCTGTTTGGTTTCTGGCAGCTGTAAAATAAAAAAATAAAAAAAAAAAAAAAAGAAAAAGAAATAATCAAGGCATTTCCAGTGCTGTTGGCAGCAGCTAAGAAAAGCCTTCAGAATATACACAGGCCAAGGGGTTGGCCTGTATTTTAGAGGGGGATTTTACAGACCACCACACAGCAACCATGCTTCAGTGGTCTCTCAAAACCACAGCTAATCAAGTCCAGCTCTGTGCAGAAACTGAAGTGGCCCTTGGACAGTTACTGGCACAAATAATTTACCCAGCCAGGCACACCCCTGGCTGAGCTTCCACAAATTCTGAGACTCATCACTTTTGACCCAAACAGGACGAGCCACAGCAAGTGTCCCATAACCAAGAAGTTTACAGAATGGGTATTTGTAACACTGTAAGTATTAGATCAGAGTCAAGAACAGAGACTACAAGAGAAGCACCACCAGCCTTTACATCCTTTCCTTACCTTCACATCACACCCCAGCCCTCTGAACTGACACTGCCCTGACACACCACTGCATACCTTGTGCTGTGGAAGCAGCAAAGACAGCCCTGTCCACAGGCTGGCACAGTACAGGACCAGCGCAGAGCCCAGGTGTGCTGCCAGGCGGTACTGACTGACCCGAGGGATGTCGTACGAGTCTGGCTTCTCTTCCAGCCCACTCTTCACCATGTACCATCCCAGCAGCCCCTGGCAAAACAGGAGAGGGCTCAGAGCCAGACAGCACAGCAGCAACTACTAAAACTGGATAAATATTAGGGGCAAAGCAACTTGTTTCCTCTACTTTCAACTAGCTACCAGCACTGACACACTGCCATGGCATCACTGACACCAAGCTGTGATGAATCCCACTGTCTTAGTTATGCTGAATCAGAAGATATCAAACTGACAGAAGGCAGGTTTAGATTAGATATTGGAAAAAAATTCTGTGCTGTGAGGGTGGTGAGCACTGGAACAGGTTTCCCAGAGAAGCTGTGGATACCCCATCCCTGGTCAGGGTGGAGCATGCACCCCCTGGATGGAGCTCTGAGCAGACTGGACTAGTGAAAGGCATCTCTGGTTCGGGGGTTAAAACCAGGTGATGTTTCAGGTGATTCTGTGACATTCAGAGGCTGTCAGTAACGCTCTCACCTGGAAGCAGACGAGCCCGCAGAGCGCCAGCACGCGGCCCTTGAGGGGCCGGCTGAGGCAGCCGCGGCGCCAGAAGTAGGCGGCAGGCAGCAGGTAGGCCAGGCCCACGGCCCGGCCCCACATGCGGTGCGAGTACTCCATGTACCAGATGAACTTGAACTCCGGCAGCGTCATGTCGTGGTTCAGGCTGTTAAAGGACAATAAAGCAACTGTTTCACAGCCCCCCAGTGAACTTTGCACGAGCCACCTCCAGGCAGGCTTTGTGTGTCTTCCCAGTGACCTCAGAAAACATTTTTTTTCTTACAATAGGTTTATGAGTGGCTCAGTCCTAGAAGGGCTGCTCTCAGCACACCCTCCTTCCAGTTTTGCACACTCACATTTTAAACTCTGGGAACTGCTGGTACTTCTGGAACTCGGCCTCCCACTCCTGCTGCGTTCGGGGGGGCTTCATCTCCTTCACCAGGTGCCAGTCGACCATGGAAAGGCCTGATTCTGTCAGCCTGGGAGCAGAGACACGAACAGGCAGTCAGCAGATCTACTGAACTGGAGCGAGAGCTCTGGGCTGCACAGCAACCCAGGAGCTGGGACTTCGATGGTCCTTGTGGGACCCTTCCAATCAGGATATGCTGTGGTTCTAGGATATGTCTTAAAACCCTTGTTCAGACAATCCTTCAGCTCAGAACTAGGAACAGGACGGAGATCAGACAGTCTGTGAATGACCACACCTAAGTTGTCCCGCAGTGGCATCCCCAGACTACGAGCAGTCTCCCCGGCACTCGCAGCCCTGTCCCCCCGCGTCCCCCGGCAGTCACGAAGGGCAGGCACGGGAGGAGCTCTCCCAGGCTCTCTCGGTGCGGGGACAGCCGCACGGGGTCACCGGCGGCGCGGGCACACACGGACGGCTGCCTCCAGGGACCCGCTCCGCGCCGCTCCGGCGGGGCGGGGGGTGCCGCGCTCACCTGGTGACGCCGCCCAGCACCACGGCACCGGCCACGGCACCGCTGCAGGCCAGGAGCCATCGCCCCACGGCGGGCGGCGGCACGGCGGGCTGGGGCGCCTGCTGCAGCAGGCGGCGCGGAAGGCAGAGCCGCGGGGGCAGGCGGCCGTGTGCCGGCGGTAGCGGGGGCTGTGGCGGTGCGGGCCCCCCCCGCAGCAGCCGCCGGGCCCCGCCGCGCGCCGCCCGCAGCATCCCGAGCCACCCCGGAAGTGTCGCCGCCGGAAGCGCGGGACGAGAACTTCCGGACCCGCCCGGGCGTCGCCATGACGATCGCTCGGCGCGTGACCGGCAGCGCAGAGCAGCGACCCCCGCGCGCCGCCAGCGCAGGTGCTGAGGGCGCGTGCGGGACGGGGGCGGGGCCCGCGCGGCGGCGGGGGCGGGGGCGGGGCCCGGTGCGGAAGCGGGGCCGGCGCGGGCCGGGCGGGCGCCATGGGGCGGTCCGGGGTGACCGCGCCGCTCCCGCCCCGCAGGCATGGACGATGGGTTCCTCATGGAGGTGTGCGTGGACTCGGTGGAGTCCGCCGTCAACGCGGAGCGCGGAGGTAAGGCCCGAGGGCCCGGCGGGAGGGGGCGGGAGCGCGGCGGGGCCGTTTCTGACGCGCCTCTCCGCAGGTGCCGGGCGGATCGAGCTGTGCGCCGGCCTCGTGGAAGGAGGGACCACCCCGAGCATGGGTGAGCCGCGCCCGCCGCTGGGCCGCCTTCCCCGTCGGTGTCCCCCGCCGCCCTCCGCCCCGCTCGGCGCCGGCCGCGGCCCGTCCGGCCGCGCTGAGCCGCCCCGTCCCGCCGGCAGGGCTGCTGCAGGTGGTGAAGCAGTGCGTGCGGGTGCCGGTGTTCGTCATGATCCGGCCCCGCGGCGGGGATTTCCTGTACTCGGACCGGGAGGTGGAGGTGATGAAAGCCGACATCCGCCTGGCCAAGCTGCACGGCGCGGACGGGCTGGTGTTCGGGGCCCTCACCGAGGACGGGCGCATCGACACCGAGCTCTGCACGGCGCTGCTGGGTGAGGCTGCCTCCGGGCTGCACTCTGTGCCCTGCCAGGGCTGTAGCGCTGCTCCGGCTGATGCCGGAGAGCTGTGCGGAGGGCTTCGGTCTGCACATGCTGTCTGCGGACTTGCCGTCTCTTTCCACCGGTTTCGGTTTCATTTCCTGCCATACCTGTGAAACATTAAGTACCTTGGAAACTTTGCAGGCCGAGGGCCGCAGCCCCAAGTCATTCACACACTGTTTGAGGCCACCGGGGACATAATAGCAAAGTGTAGGAAGGCTTAGGTGAGCTGCTTTGACCTGTTGAATTCTCTCTCTTGTTTTCTTTGTCCTTTGTTCTTTTCCTTATGTCGTTGCTACAGGTGTCTAGGATATGTATCTCCTGGACTTTGGCCTTGTGTGTAGCTGGCAGTTTGTCTTCATTTTTCTCTCTTAACACACACAGGGAGACAAGATTACAAGAGAGAAGTGTGAACACATGAAAAGCTGCTGAAGCTGCAGTGGGACACTGTTAGCCCAGACCACAAACATGCAGAAGGAAATTTTTTCTTGCTGCATGTTTTTTGGGAGCTACAGCCAAAGCTAAAGAGGGCTGGGCTTTTCCCTGGTGATGTGGTGCTGAGGTTCTCACACGAAGGTGGCTGTGCTGTAAGGGGTGCAGCAAAGGAAAAGAGTCTTGCCAGGACTTAGCAGGGAGCAGGTGGATATCTTTTTGTAGAAATAAATAAGCTTTGCTCAGTAAGTAGAAGACCTCTGGTGAAGTTTGCTGTGGTCTGAGAGCAGAAATTGTAGGCAGTGAAAGAAATCACAAAAATCAGCTCCCCTGCTGCCAAAGAGCAGTGGTCCTGGCCTTTCCCCAGGTAGATGACACAAATTCCCTGCTTCCTTCCTGCTGAGAAAGTCATCCTGTGGTGGGAATGGGGGTTCTGCATGTTCCAGATAGAATGGGGGATTTTGGTGTTACCCATAGAACCAAAGGTGTGTTGCTTTCTCATAGGGCAGAAGAATTCTTCCCCATGAAAAATCCTGGGTAAACAGCATTGTTCCCAGCAAGAATAGGGACTCTCTGAGCTCCCCAGGGATGGCTTGAGAAGCCTTTTCCCTCGTCATGTATGTTTCTGGCTCTAGCACAAGGGGCTGTACCAGCCCTGACTGACCACATGTCTTCCTCTTGCAGCCGTGTGCCGTCCCCTGCCAGTCACGTTTCACCGCGGTGAGTTCCCAGGGACAGCGGCCCAGGGCAGGGTCCAGTCTGTGTCCCACTGCCGGGGCAAGGTGGGGCTGCGAGGGAGCTGGGCTTGATCTTCTTTGGTTGTTCTTTGGAGAGGGAAAGCTCTGCAGGCTGTGCTATTCCCCACAAGAGAAACGGTCCAGGGGGCTCGGGTTTGGGAGCTGTCTCATTGCCCTCTGAGAGAGGAGGTGTCTGGGGAGCTGAGTATGGTGGCCCTGGCACTGCTGCAAGGGGAGTGTTACACTCAGGAGCTGTGAATCCAGGGTGTGAGCAGGACCCTTCCTGTCGCTGCCTTTGGGGGAGCTGGCTGAGGGACAGGGCTTGAGCACAGTGAACGATTTCTGAGCTGTTGTTCTCTTCCTCAGCATTTGACATGGTGCATGACCCTCTGGTGGCACTGGAGACCCTGATTTCCCTGGGCTTTGAGCGGGTGCTCACGAGTGGCTGTGACAGCTCAGCCCTGGAAGGATTGTCCTTGATTAAGAGGCTTGCAGAACAGGTGAGTGTTTGCTGTGCTGGGTTACTGTGGCTGCTCCCTGGCACTGCCTGCAGGCTTTATGGTATCCCTCATTTCTGGGAGGGACCTCTGTCAAGGAGTGCTTGCCTTCCCTCTCTTGCTTGGCTTTAATCTGTTTCCCCAAGTCCGTGTAGGCTGGGCCCCAAAGTCTCCCACAGCAAAAACTGGTTGGGTTCTTGCTTGCAGATTCGGGGAGGGTGGTGGGAGTTGGTTTAAACAGCTGATGAGCCCACACAAACAGCAGAGTGAGGTGCCTGCTGAGTGTCTCACAGTTCCTTTTAGGAAAGTGCAACAGGTGAGGTAGCAAGGTGGGATGGAGAGGTAGGAGGGAATGGTGACAGGTTGTCTTAGCTGTAACTGCAAGTTCTTTTCCACTTTTCATTTTAAAACATGAATAGTACGAAAAAGATGGGTGAGAGCGCACAAACTGTTAATCGTGGTGACATCCATGAGCTTATGGAAAGTGCGGCTTGTGAGGTTTCTTTGCTGCCTCACAAATGCACGTGTGGATGTGGTCCTCAATAATGTCACTGACATGTACGTTACTCTTCTTTCAGGCAAAGGGCAGAATTGTGGTGGTGCCAGGTAATGTTTGTCATCTGTACCTGGTCCTGCTGTCCTTAGCCTTTCCTTGCTAGCCTCCTTGCCCTCGAATCCACTTTCTGATTTGGCTTTCTGAGCCAGCTGCCCAGGAGGAGCAGCTCCTGTCCTGGTGTGAGTAAAGGCCATGCAGCCTGCTGGGGAGGGCAAAGCCCTGCAGCTATTGCTCCCTGCAGGGTTTGGGGACAGCTCTAGATCTCTGGGAGAGCATGAGCCAAGGCTTCTCCCATCCCTTTTCACGTGCCCTTGTCTCTATTGTCCCAAGGGCTGTTTTTTCCCTTCAGTGTATATGGCTCCTGTCCCTTAGTGGTGAGGTCCCCGGGTGGTGTCAGGTCTGGAATAGTGTCATCTGCTCGGTGTGTGACATCGGGCTTGTTCCCACCAGGAGGTGGCATCACGGAGCGCAACCTGCAGAGGATTCTGGAAGGCTCCACTGCTTCTGAGTTTCACTGCTCTGCTCGCTCAGCTCGGGACTCAGGGATGAAGTTCAGGTAACTGATGGCTTATGTTTATTTTTAGCAGAACTCTATGAGGGAAAGGCTAACGAATGTGAGCATGCGTTTGTAGAACTGGCATAAATTTCAAACAGCTTCCTGAGTGCTCGTTGTGCTTTTATGTTTGGGATCATGGTGCCTGATACTGTATTCTGCAGTGTATGAATCCAGCAGTGCTCCTCACGTGGACATGAATCCCATGCAGAACCAGATCCTTGGGGCATTTCTCTTGCTACTGCTGCCCTAGGAGTTTTAAGGGCACTTGGGAAGGCAGGTTGTGGTGTAGTTGTTTTAGACTTTTAACATAAGCATGTATAATTTGGCAAGCCAGTGGGATGTGCTTCTGAAAATTGAGTGAGGAATGGGTTATATTTGTCCATAGGTCTGCACTTCTTTGGATTATTGTTCTTTTTATTACTGTCCCGACTTTGGTTTGGGTGGCACCATCTTAGGCCAATGCTGAAGCTAGGGGAAATATGGGGGTGTCTTTCTTGGTGGATCTTACTGGTCTGTACCCCCAGCAGGTCACCACTAATCACTGGTTTTCCTGACAGAAATCCGAACGTTGCCATGGGAGCGTCCTTCTCTGCCCCCGAGTACTCCATAAAGGTGGCAGACGTGGCCAAAGTGAGGACCCTGAACGCCATTGCCAAGAACATTCTGTAGTGGAGGGCACCGTGCTGGGCCAAGAGCACAGAGACTCCAGGGTGTGCCCTGGCACACGGACTGATGGGCACTGCTTCATCCTCAGGCTGCAGAGGACGTGCACTAGGTGATGGAGCCTGACACCTCTTCCCTTGGCTTCCCCTGAAGTCCCTGGCCTGGAAACTTATGTTGGCCGTTTTAAAGAAAAGGACTCATTTCCAGATGTTGCAGCAGCAGCTGCTGGGCAGCATTTGGGAGGAAGGGAGGTGAGCAAGTAGGGGGACTGAATTGTATAGCACTGCATGTGATTGTCAAATAAACACTGCAGCTGCCCCCCTCTTGCTGTGCTTTTCTAGAGTTTATTTATGTTTTCAGGTAAGACCATGACCCATGTTGCATGGCCTGAATTAGGACCCTGCTGTGCCAGAGAATGCAATCACATCCAGAATGCCAGGGTGGGAAACACCTTAGCCACAGCTGGGAAACAAGGCCTGCTGTGATCAACCAGTAGCATAGGTGGGGATTAGCAATGCAGCAGCTGTAAGCGCCTGACTGATCAGGTGAGGAAGCTGTGAGCCATCCTGGGCTCTGGGTCCTCAGTGCTCGAGGTGGGGTTGGTGTATGAGATTTCTTGGGACAACAAGCTGCTTTTTCTAAGGGAGTTTCCAGGTCCTTGTCCCAACACAAAGCATAAACTGCTTGTTTTCCGGACAGTGTTTGGGGAATGTGCCTGTTGGGTCAATGCTGCTTAGTCAGGATTAAAGCCTCAGACTCAGCTACTATGTAAAATACCCAGTGAAAGATTTAAATGGTACAGAGGGTGCATTAGAAGAGTAGAGACCTAAAAGTAAAGCACCTTTATCCATGCTGCCCGCTCTTCTGTAAAAGATCACAAAGCTGAAGAGAATCCCTCTGACAGCCAAGACAGTGGACCTCAGGAAGTAAATGCAGGGTACAGATTTCTCTTCCCATTTTGGCAGTAGCTTAGATCCTGTGAGGATATATGGAAAAAATGTGATACTTGACAAGGTGGCAGCACCTTTGTCACCTTGAATAGAGTCACATTATTGAAAATCTATTATCAAGACTACATATTTTCAGTTTAAAGGTGCATCCACTTTTTCACATGGATCCATCAAAGGTATTGGTGTCTCCCAAAACACCTTGGGAACTTAAGTTCTTAACAGAGGAGCTGGGAAGGGAATGACTGCATAGTGCTGGTGTCAGAGCCTGCTTCAGCACTGACAGATGTGCAGGCTGTAGGAAGAATCCAAACTTGGAAAAATTGATTAAATTTATGATTATGGTCAATATAGAGAGTTCATAAGAGTTCATGGCTTATGTTGAGATTTTATGAGTCATGGTTGTGATTATGATACTGGTAGCTCAGATTGGGCTACCAGTATCATAATCATGATAATTAAGGTGAGAACATTCTGCTGACCAAGCTGTCTCAGTTTTGAACATGGGATGAGAACATGACAAGGCAAAGAAACTCTTCAGAGAAGATATGAGCAGTGAGGGCTGGAGGAATTTGGTTGATTGCCTGGCAGAGACCTTTGGATCAGACCCTGTGTGAGACAGGCATGAATCAATGCCTAGTTTTGAAAAGTTATAACATGCTGTATAAGAGATGGATAAAGATGGGGAGCACAGGGAAACTATGGTATTGCTGGCCAAAGAGGTGTTGCTTAGCATCCTTGGTCCCAGTGGATGTTTTCTGGGTATTTTAGTGGAGGAACATTTATGGAAGGAGGTGAAGGACAGTAAAGATTTGCAGGTTTTTAGGAGGAGCATGCCCCAGCTGTGAGGGTAGAGAAAGTGGGTTATGCTTGTTTTGAACATCAAAGAGAGCAGAATCCTGTGCTGAGGGCCACACTTCAACTCTGTTAGACCAAAGCCAGGGTGAGGATGAGCTGTGACCTATACTAAAAACTGAGACAAGCAATGGGATGGGGCATTATGTAGGAAGGTGTCATAAACAAGTGGGCCCCTTGGCAGCAGTGCTCCAAGTGGCTTTGAGCAAGGCCAGAGGACACCTGTGCCAGTGCCAGAAAGAATCACATCAGCAGTCCACATGGAGAAGGGCCGAGTGACTGCTCCATTCACTTCTTACTCATTGCATCAATTTACAGCTCTCAGGAGCAGTGTATTGGTTCTGGCGTGGAGGACGTAGCACTGGGGATAGTTCTATTTACAAAAACATGTGGATTTAATCAGAGAAATTGCTAATAATTAACCACTGAGTTGGACATTGAGCCTTTCTTTGGTATTGACGGTTCCTGAGGAATTACTCATTGTGTCACCCTTGACTTCTGAGTTATCTTGTAACTCTGTGTACAAGGAGACAGAACAGTAATTGCAGTCACCCTACTGTCCTCTTTTATCTACTGTTCTTCAAGAGCACACATGATAACGCAAATCCTCTTCCAGCCTTAGTAGCACTGTCCCCACGTGTCCCATCACACCTAGGCCTTCCTAAGCAACAAGGGTTCAGTGGCAATCAGTCTCTCGGGATTCATCCTCTTTCTGTCAGATGTTGGGGGTTACCTTAGAATGAGCATGTCCCTTTGGGGCAGTTCAGCCAACTGCCATAACACACAGACAACATGGAAATGTGGGAAAGAAAGAAGCAAAAGAAGGAATTTGGAAAATCTTCAGGCTCTGGAGACTGTAAATTAATAAAAGGAATCTGGATCCTGAAGACTCCAAAAGATCAGTGCAGCATGTGGTGAGTTCAGCTGTCAGACACTGCAAATTCCCAGGCCAGGGGCACTGCTGGTGTCACAGGCCCCCTTGCCAGGTGGCATCAGCCCTTTGCTGGACTTTTTGTTGGCATTCAGCAGGCTTCTCACCAGAGAGGTCTGTTGTATCAAAGTAATGTCTTTAGCAGGGCCAGATGAGTTTGTGCGTATTGGTGTGCACTGATCAAGTCTATGGTTTCTGAGGAATGGCTGTGGTGTCCTGCAGTGACTGTCACTTCTCTGTATCTCCCCTTTGGTCTCTTTCTTGGGTCCTCCTCTCCTCCCTTCTCCTGAGGCTGTGCAGCTTCCCAAGCCCTTTTGGTCACTGCTTTGGTTTGTAGGGTTGTGCAATGGCACCGAGTTAATAAGTAACTGTGGGTCATCAGAGTTTTTGTCCCAAGACCGCTTGAGGGTGTGGGGGGACTTTTATCCCAAGCATCTGCCCAGGTGTCTCAGTTGGGCAGAGCGAGAGGAAGGAGCTGCTGTTTCTTCTCCCCCGAGCTATGTCAGCAGCCCTGGAGAAGTTCTGCGGCTCCGTCTTCTGGGTGAGTGACTGCATCATCCCCAGTGCCTGTTCTCGGCACAGGACACCCTCTGTGGGGGGAGAGAAGTGGATTCCAGGGCTCACAGCCTGTCCTGCCAGTGAGACCCAAGTGCTGGTGGTTGGCAGAGGTTCTGGGGTTTATCCAGGAGTGCCATGGCAGTGTGTGCTGTGCACTGCCTGCACTGTATACCAGACAGTGAGGCAGTGACAGCTCTCTGACTGAGCTCTCTCCTGTTTTTGCCTTCCTGGGAACATAGGACAGCCTGTACGGACTTCTGGAGAAGGATTTAGCTTCAGCTGCTTCTGCTGGCTTGGCTCCAGCAAGGGGTGGCCGTCTCTCATTCAGGCAGAGAGATGGGGATGGGGATATCGCTCGGACCATGGCCGCGTGCTGAAATGCTCAGTCAGGAGGGTGGGTGTTGAAGGGGGGATGCAATGGCGTGGAGCTGGGTGGGCAGAACCTATAGGAGTGTTGGCTCTTGTCCTGTGTGCCAAGTGAGAGTCAAGCCGTGTCACGTGACGTGGTGTTCTGTCCTTGCTGCCCCCAGAATGATTCCTACCTTGCTCGTCCGGATGCTGACCTGCCGGTGTGCTTCCAGCAGACTGTGCTGGTCTGGATCCCCCTTGGCTTCTTCTGGATTTTGGCCCCATGGCAGCTCCTGCCCATGTGCAAATCCAGAGCCAAGAAATCCTCTGTGACCAAACTCTACATCATCAAACAGGTAGAGTGGAGCTGAGGGGGTCCAGATGACAGGCTGGAGCAGCCTGAGGTGTTGGTGGTATGAGTGGCAAGACTCTGTGCTACAGTCAGGTGTGGGATGGAGAGATGGGAAGTGTGGGAGGGAAGGAGCAATGGGACAGGGAACCATCCGGGACAGAAATGTGAAGGAGAGTCCAGCAGGAGGCATGTCTGGGACAGAGGGCATAACAGGAGGGATGCACTGGGAGGGAGGGCAGAGTGTGTATTGGGGCCTCTCTTGCAGGCTGCTACCTTCCAAACTGGAAATGATGACAGTGCTCCTGTGGAGCTGTGGCACATTCACAGGGTTGAAAGCTGCCCCAGGCCAACTCTGGGTTGGAAAGGGTGTGAGGATGTACAGATGTATTTTATGCCGACCTCTGTTGTCTCCCAGTGGTTCCCAGTGTCCACAATGGGCTGGCCCTCTCTCCCCACAGGTGCTGGCTGCTCTGCTGGTGCTGACGGCAGTGGCAGGGCTGGCCCTGGCGTTTGTCGATGCCGAGCAGGGCGCTGTGCCAGCTGTGCAGTACACCAACCCCAGCCTGTACATCGCCACCTGGGTAAGGGCTCAGCCTGAACGTGCTGTGTGTCACAGGGACACCGTGAGACTGCAGCCCCAAGCAGAACAAGGCTTCCCTAGCACAGAGATCAGAGGGAAGCTGTGTCCGTGGGGCAAGGGTAGCCTGGAAATTGGGTAGCACTAGCCCCAAACCTGTGTGGGTGGTGCACGAGGGTGATATGTTGAGGGCAGGTGCCTGGTTACAGTGCTCACTGCTGTTATCCTTAAAAGTGGGATGATTCTATGCCTGCAAGTGTAGGTGAGCTCTCTGACAGAACTTTACTAGGAGCAGCATGCTTTTCACTGGACTGTTTGCAGGGTAAACATCAGACCATGGCTTGCTGCTCTGACATCTCACAGTTTCCTTTACATTGCTGCTCAGTTTTGGGCAGACAGCCAGGAAGTCCCATGGGGTGCTCAGGCAGAGGAGAAAGCTGGCTGAAGAGGATCTAGTGGCTATTAGCTTGATGGAATATGTGCGTGGCAGTTACAGACATCTTGTGTGTGACGTGGAGTATTCTAACAGTCTTAACAAATGCTCAGGAGCTACACTTAAAAGCAAAATAAGACCTTCTTTTGCTTTCCTTCTTATTTTGCCGTGTCATTTAGTTTCACATGCAGAGTCCATGTGAGATGATAAGGCAAGGGGACTCCCCAGAGAGGCTGCACCGCTGGAATGTGATCTGGGTTCAGTTCCAGGTCTGGAGGCAAGGTGCTGGAGACAGGGTGTGACCCCTCATGGCTTGACATGT